GCTGATGATCAGTGCTAATCAATTACAAATGAGGCCTTTATGTTGTTCTTTTTTTAATTCTCTGTGTCCCTCAAGAGGATGAGGATTGATGCTTCTTTTGAAAAATATTTCCTGCTATTATTAACAAGAATCCGGCTCTTGGAAGCTTCCGTTTGCCTTTTCTTGCAAGTAGAAGTAAATGATGATTGAAGTTTGTACGAAGTCGCTTATTTTTCTGTATAATATATTGATAAGAAGGTAGAGAGTGTTTGATTGCTCCATTTGTATACAATATTTTGGTCTCAATAGTCAGGTTTCCTCGAGAATTTTCACACATTGAGACCAAGTCCCTCTCTCTATCATATATTGAGAAGGTTATTCATATCCGGATTGGTGTGTTCATAAGAAACTTCTTTCTCGTGACTCCCTCTAGGATTTGGATTCCCTTGGATGATAAACAACCAATTTTGTTTGTATAATAAATTTGAAGATTCAATTCAGATATCTTGTCGGATTTTTATTGTGATCATCATTATAATTGATGTGGTCTTTGACTTGAGCTATTCTATGAGGATCTTCACCCTCCAACAACGGAAAATTTACCTATTTGGTGGTTTCTTGCTTTTGTTTTAATGGTAAGGGTCATACTTGATAATCATGGATAAAATTCAATCTGTGTCAGTTGCAGCTGTATATACTTGCAGGAGCTACTTGAAAGCAAATATTACAGCACTTGGATAGCGTTTAGTTACTGACTTGAAACAAAAGAGACAATGATAGTTTTAACAGAGAGGACATGCTTTTACTTTGAGACATTTTCCATCTATGTAACTAAACATGTTTTTGTTCTTTATGTATATATCCTTTTGTCTGGATTTTAACGAAATGCAACTTTGATGGCAGTGTAGTTCCGGCGAAGCTAGAGGTTTGTAATTTCTATCCCTTTATTGAGTTAACTAGGAAACCTTTGGATACAGATTTTTGCAAAATTTCATATTGGTGGTTCTTTGATGGTGCGCCGTGTTATTTTTTGTGCCTTTTACGACACAATTATTTATCAAAGACTTTT